CCGCCGCGACCACCTCCTCCGAAGGGAAAGCTCGCAACATTACCACCAAATTCGGTCGTTCCTCTGCCCCTCCACTGCCCGAGAGGGTCGCCCGACCACCATCGTCAGCCCCGTTTGGAACTCTTGGTAGGGCTGGCGTGCCGCAATGCCTCTGTCAAAGTTGGTCGCACCCTCAGCTCATGGTCCATCCTGACTCCTGTCCTAGGCGGCCCAGCAACCGTCTCAGCCCCGGCAACCTCCACCGGCTGAATCGAGCTTGGCTCCCAAATCCGCCTCCTGGCCTTCCCACTGTTGGATCTCATGTTTCAATTACTTCCCAATTTTTTGGGCACTAGTTTCTGTGTATCTGAAAAAGCAACAACAATCATGATTCCCAAAAAAAACCTCTCCTACCCTATAATCACTCTTATGTCGCCAAATTTTACTTTGTTTTTTGGAGATGATGTAAATTTGGACAATCGGTAGACATTGTCCAAATGTAGACTATTCTATGGACAATTTGGTGTAGAGCGTTTTTGCTTCATATTGTATGTTTTTTCTACACACAAAACATTTTAATAGTTATTATATATATTAAAAAAAGAGGAAAGTGGATATAGACAACAAACATAACTGCCGGAAAATTGAAAGATTTTAAGAGAATCTCTTTAGACCACTGTCTATATGAAAACTTAGACAACCAGATTTAGACCATCTTCTGCTGGAGATGCTCTTAACCATCGGCTCAAATTGTTTGCAAAAACTAGTTGCATCTTGTTCAGAACCGAAGGAAAAATAATTATATCTGCCAATCTGAAGTGATGCAGGCATGACGGAAGAGGATCAAAGACGCATGGATCCAGCAAATTTCTGCAGCTTTTGGCGTGTTGTTGCGGTCGAAGGACCACACACACCGCCGTCCATAGGAGCACTCGAAGGTTAGTTGGTTGGTTGTTAGGGACAGAGACCGCTTTTAGACTTGACTTTGAACAGAGAACCCCAATCACTCACACAATGGGTGACGGTAGGGCACCCCCAAACGCATTACACATGCAAATGCAAACGCAAATGCAGTGCACTGCTCTACCACCTCGCTTTCTTTTTTGACCTGGTGGATAAAGACTAAAGGCACGCCATGCAGGGTGTTTTGATCAGGAAAGACTAGGAGAAAAAGTTGTTGCCACCTTTACCCCTCTAATGCAATTGCAGGGTACTTTGTTCAGTAACATATTCAGTTCCATTCCATCCATCCATGGCATCTTTCTTTTCTCACCGTACTACAAGCACACGCATGCTGCATTGCTTCATTGCTGGTGAGAGGATAGAGAGGGGAGAGAAATTACCTGTGGTACTTGAACCGGAGAGCTTAGGCCCAGATCAAGAAATGCCCTGAGGTTAAAGGGCATTGATGGTTAAAATGGTTTTTTAACAGGTGAATCTGAATTCTGCAGGCATTTGGCTGTAAAAGCACAGGGATGGCTGAGTGAGGAGGCCATGCAGAAAGTTGGGCCTGATCTTTGCATGCCTGGGGTGCCTCAGAGATATCATCGAAGACCGTGCGACAAGACGTTGAATGAGCCAAAAAAAAAAAAGATTAGCTCGAGCGCTTGGATGATCTGGTCATGCATGATGGCCTCTTTGATTCGCGGGATTTTGAAAACGTAGGAATAAGAAAAGTATAGGGCTAGAGTGGCATGTTCACTTAAATTTTATAGGATTAGCAAGTAGTGTTTATGGCACAAAAAAAAAGAATTATAAAAAAAGGTTGGAGTGGATGTTAGATTTCCTATAAAATGTAGTAAAAAATATTTCATAGAAAAAATTCCTACGGGATCTAATCTATGAATCAAAGGACCAACGCAGAAAAAGTTTCTAAGGATTTCAATCCTTCACAAATCCTATAGAATTCCTTTGAATCAAAGGAGCCTTGAAACTCGACACTGTGTCTAAGGGCATCTCTAACGGCAATTTATAAATTTTCTCCCGCATCTCATCGGACAAGGGGATTAGTTCACGGACACGGATGCAAAGGGATGAAATAAATGCTAGCCGCATATATTTCAAAATATTTTTCAATAAACCGGATGAAATACATGCAAGCACGGCTGGATTTCATACAAACACGACGGATTTCATACAAACACGATGGATTTCATCACATTTCAAACATCTAGAAAAGACCCGCTCCTAAACCTATCATACGGGCAGCGGTGCCCAGCGTCCAAACCCGTGTCATCCTTCATCCGTCGTCTTCATGAGCACGGGCGATAAGAGCAATGACATGAAGGTTTGGTATCCGGCGAGGAAGAGTAGGACACGAGAGATAGACCGGCCCACATGGGACACAAAGCACCGCCATCTCCCGTGGCCTACTCTATCCTCGGAGGAGTCTGCGACCCGTCCGTCGCTGGTGGACGTGAGGTCCTCGATGAAAATGGTGGCGCCCGCACTGTCTTCGTCCCACCGGGCCGGCTGATGGTTCGTCGGCGGCGCGTAGGAGGCGCCGCTGGCATTGTTCTCCTCCACGGTCGCCTGCAGCCGCGCCTCCGTGGCGGCCGCGTCCCTGTCGAGCGGCGGCTTGAGCACGGACGACACCGTAGATGGCACGCTGCTATACCACGAAGTTGGGGTTCGTGCGGCCATGGCCGCTATGGCCTTCTCGCTTGCGTGCTCGACGTAGATCTGGCTCTTCGCCAGCCGGTGCTGCTCCGGGAGGAACAAATTGTACCGTTGTTCCTCATGTGCCTATCGGAACGCCGACAGAGGCGCCAGCACATGCTGCACCTCTGCTATGGCGCCGTTGAAGTGCGTCTGCACCTGCTCCATGGTGAAGTCGGCGTGCACAGGAGGCGCGGAAGCCGGGAAGGAGTCGTCGGAGCCCGTCTCCATCATAGTGTCGTCCTCGTCGTCGGACACCTCGGGCGAGCTGGCCAGCAAGCCGGACTCAATCCGCTTGGCACGTTGGCTATGCCAGGCAGTGGCAAGGGCGGCCACCGCATGCTTTATCTCCGGCGACAGACTGTCCCACAGTGC